ACGGGGGAGGTCGCGTGAAAATTAGAAAAAAAAAAAAAAAAAAAAAAACAGGAGCATAACTCAACCGGTCATTCATATTAGATTTAAATAATCCATTCTAATCTCCGCATCAAGGGTCTCATTATACAAGTATTTCACGGTTGACAATTTTGCTGTGCTTGAATACAAACGAGAAGTGCAGAATGTCAACTCACTCATTAAACGATAACATTTGAACCGCGCAGATGCTCCTTTAATTGTTTGAATGATGCATATTTGAACCATCTCATGTCACCCAAAATATTAGAAACGGGTCTCCGTGTGACGCAGTGCACGAGTACTAGTTCAACCTCATAAGTGAGCATTAATATCTTTTGCACAAGGAGAATTTCCGCATTTGATGGTTTATCGAATGAAGTGGAAGCTGAGTGCAAAATGTGTTGCGCCTTGAAGAGTAAAATATAATAACAGACAAAGGGGGGAGGGAGCCAACATGTTTCGGGAGGTAGAAGTTGTTCGTCTCACAAAGAAGAGCCGTCAAGCAAATCGTGTGGGCGGCACTTCACAGCCGGCTGTTGTTTTTGAAGAGGCTTTTGTTTTGGTGCGCCTTCGCTTGATGATGTTTCCACACGTACGAACCTCATCAGTCAGCAGCGAGTATCAAAAGGCGTTTTAGTCAGCTCGTGTGGAAGTTACAAAAGTTTAAATTAAAGCAGTAACGAACGGGCCCTCGCACCCCCGCAGTCGCCACGCGCAGTATTCCGTGCACGTATACCGACTTTGAAGGGAAGGAAATCTCAAGTTCTTCACAAACTAGTGCTAGCTTCTCAAATGTGGTTTCAAATTGCCAGCAATTGGACAGAATCTCACGGATGAGTTTGGGCCACTGGAAATTTCTAAATTAGCTTGAAATGGCCAATTCAAATCAAAATGGCTAATTTCTCGTGTCTTTTCAGACGTTGGTTTTTGTCTTGAGAATTGCTTTTTTTTTTTTTTTTTTTAACTTTACTAATGACAGATACACATATCAAATTTACCAGAGTAGAATTGACTCAGAGGCTTGTAATTGGCTTTGGGAGACACACAATTGTTTCTAAAATGTGATTGGGCGCAGCTGAGCCACTTGAGCCCGAAATTTCCACTTAAATGGCTGACTTCCAGGAATTGGGAGATGTCTTTTTGAGATTATTTTGTGGGCCATATATCTAAGTCGAACGGGTTTCGGAAGCTGAATATTTTAACGCTTTCACAACATGTCCACTTTAAACCAAAATGGCGGACTTTGGGGATCTTTGGAGGCATCGCTTCATGAGACTTTTTTTGTCGGTCTACTTCACAAAGACTGTGCAACTAAACTTCATGATGCTGAGTAAAACTGGATAAATTCATCTTTGACGGAAGTCCCCGAAAATGACCAAATTAGACTGAAATGACCGCTTCAACCAAAATGGCTGACTTCCTGTGTGTTTTTTTTTTTAACACAAGTTCTTGAGCCTTTTGCATTGATTCGTGATAGACATTGCTCGGTCAAATGGGTTTCATGAGCTGGACTTTTAAAAAAATGTAACATTAAGAAAGCTGAGATTGTTACGTCTTGTTTAGTTCGATTTATCTTCACAGGTCAACTCAAAATGGTTGACTCCCTGTGTCTTTTCAAGGATGGCTTCTTGAGATTTTTGCGGGTCTACTCACGATAGATACGCCTACCAAATTTAATGATACTGAGTCAAACTGGATTCAATGGCTGAACTGATTTTAAAATATGGTTTGGCGCCCCTGAGACAATTTAGCTTCAAATGGTCGTTTCAAACCAAGATGGCTGACTGTGTCTTTTCAGGCATGGCTTCTCGAGACTGTGGATCCACTCATGATTGACATTGCTATTAAATTTCATTTTTCTCAGTGTAACTGGCTTCGGGGGCTGAATTTCCCCCAAAAGATTTCCCCTGTTTGAGCTGTAAACATAAAAACGTAGTAGAGTGCCATACCCGCGCTTGCGGGTCGCTGCGGCAGTCCCGGCGAGACGGTGTTCCTTTGCAGGGCGGGTTGCTGCGGTGACAGCAGGCGGGGGTCCGAGAGGGCGGCGTTGATGAAGGAGGTGGTGGTGACCAGGGTGCCGCCCGGGTTGTTGCTGAACTGAAGGGTGGCAGGTTGCGGCGGTGGGGCGCTCTGATTGGACACTGGCACGGTGACGGGCATGGAGAAGGTTGGCTGCGGGACGGTGGCCTGGGGGTAAGAGAGAGGAGAAGGGCGGGGATTTTCAATGCCAATCTCCACAGTAAGAGACAGTTGGTCAATTTAGCTTCATTAGCTTAGCATCAGCGAAGCAAACAAGCCTGAATGTTGGAAAACGGTCACACCAAAACAAAACAAGTCAGCCGAGGAATGTCATCTACTAGCTCCTTCGTCTGCTACTGTTTCAAACTAACAGTACATTACAAGGCTAATGCTCCATCCCACTATCTATATACTGCATCCCAATGTTATCAGAGGATTACATAGCTACCCATAATGCTACATTTAACTGCTAAAGCTACATTCTAGCTAGTCATACCTAGCATTTACACTGCATCCCACTTTAACACTGTTCAAATTGGTTATGCTACAGCGCACCACTTGCTTTGTATCCCAGCAAGAAACAGACACAATGCTAATGCTACATGCTAACATTTTAAACGTTAATAAATAGTACAAAGCTATCAAATTATTTTAACTGACACGATACGACAGACACAAACAAACACGCAGACACGTGCGGAGTGACATTTTTGAAAGTGTTAAATGAAGATCTTGGTGGTTTCAACAGTTGAGTCCATAAAATATACTAAAATTGATGTCAACCATTTCGGGTTGTCCTGGAAGGTGACCCACTTCACAGTGAAAGCAGGACTTCTATTTCAAGAAAATGGGCCAAAGCGCCTAAGTTCCAGGCTCTGTGCTCGGCTTGTACAGCCTGGGACCCACTTAACTGTGAGGAAGGCGAGAGCACACGGGATGAAAGAAAACTTTGCTTCATTTGAAACGTTAAAACATTTTCAAAGGTTTCGTTTTTATTCATTTATTTATTTTTGATAAACATCACAGAAACGGGACGGGGGTTGATTCTTTCAAGATTTTAACAGTCTGCAGAGAAGTTGGAATTTAGAGTCACTCAACTTTAGTATCATACAATGATTTTCCTCAACACGGTGGGAAGCACTAAGGTCTCCTGGAAGTAATGCAGCTTAATACACACATTTGACAATAAAGTTGACCTCAACTTGAACTTGAACTTAATTAACAGCAATGACAAAAGGCAGAGAAAGTCCCCAACTGAGCAACAATAATATTTGTTGTTCCCACAGAGCAGAGGGAACGTGTGCTTGTGAGCATTGTTGTATGTTCCATTTGTATGTATTGCTGCTCTGTTTATGTTGTTTGAAAGTTTACAATGACTGCAAAATCGATGCTATTTTTTGTAGCCTGCATATGGCGTTCCGCGTAATATGTTAGCATGAAGCTAGCGAAATACGGTTTCAAATTACAGTGCGTCAGTTTGACAGGAAGCTTCTCCTGGAGTGACGGAACACATTTTTCCTCTGAGTCGGACAGTCATCTTTTCGCTTCCTCAATGTAAAGTTATGCGATAGTCTCCCATTTTCTTGAAAGTGAGAGAGTGAGAACCGGTGCGAAAGAATACAGTGGTGCCATGAGACACAAGTTAAATTTGTTACGTTACCGCATGTGAGACTCAAAATACGAATATAATTTCTCCATTCCATCCGCTTTGGGTTTTTTTTTTCACAGGGGATAAAGAATATATGCCTTTTTATGTTGTCGCCATGTGTTGATGCACCTTTGTGTTCAAAACCCATTGCTTGAATGGTTTTAACGATTGATGCTATTCATTAGCCCATCTATGGTGCTGTTAGCTTTAAGCTAGCGGAAGGCAAAATTGTGTTGTTCTAAACTCACAACGTGTAATTCTTTTTGTTTTATGATGTTTAGTTTGACAGCAAACTTAACTCGTGGTGGTATTAAGCAGCTCGACGCCTCGATTTTGAATAAATGTTCACTAATTTCCAAAAGGATGCTTTTTGTGAAGCGAGTCGGCTTTACTGCTACCACACAACCTATCATAAAATAGTATGATAGTATCGTAATGGAACTAGTGGCCAAAGTGGAGCCGTGACTTTCCTTGCTTTGGAGGTAGCATCAAGCTCATCGTGTCACCGTAGTGTGGTGGTTTCTCTCAGGTCTCAGGCCTAAGATCATAAAAGCGCTCAGGGTGACCGTGTGCGCGTTCCCCGTTGACCAATCACGAGCCAGGCAGTTAGCCAGCTCGTAAAATCAAACGGCACTCGTTAAGGTGACGTTAATGGCGTGATTGAGCGCCACGGGAGAAGACATCAATAGCGGTGCTAGGCGAAACCTGAGCTGGAAACGAAGCCGGTTCACGACCGGAACGCCGTGTCCAGTCAGGGACGTCTCCACGGCGACTGCACGCTAGCTCTATGAATAGCATCACCTCTTCACAGTAGGAAGGCATGAACCTGAGGTACTACATTGAGTTATTACCAAAAAAAAAAAAAAAAGTGTGTTTTCCTTGCCTGCGGTTGCCATGACGACTGCGGTGACAGTCCAGGATGACGTTAACGTACCTTTCGCAAGTTGCGTGATTATTTTTATAGCACACATAACCACTTGTCTCACTCACTGTTATGAATAAGGCGCATGAATTCAAGTATGGAATGTCGGGGTTTATTATTTTTGAAAGAATTACAGGAACAACACTATTTTTTTAATGTATAAAGTCAGAAATGTACCGTCATTTCTTCACCGAAGAGTTTGATGTACTTAATGCCAATTTATGATGAAGAAAACAAATTGTTTTATTTAAAAAAATGTGTACCTATGATTTTGTTTCAATATTTTGTTTTATTTTTAATTGAATTTTATTAACACTGAATATATGTTTATATTTAATTATTCTATGAACAAATTGTCTGTATTTGTTTAAAAAAAAAAAAAAGAGAACCTATATATTTCCATCACCTATACCACCGATGTCAGAGTTTGGTTCGCATTGCCGGCAGTTAAGTCGGAGTTGTTCCCAGTGAAGGTTGGACTTTGTCACTGATTCTGTTCATAACGTTTATGAACAGAATTTGTAGGCGCAGCGGAGGCGTTGAGGGGGGTCCTGTTTGGTGGCCTCCGTATTGCATCTCTGCTTTTAGCAGATGATGTGGTCCTCTTGGCTTCTTCAGGCCGGGATATCTCCAACCCTCTGGGATTTTTATACTGTAGATGTTTTTAAAAGGGATAATGACTGCTCACATTTTCTTCATATTTTTTATAGATTTTTTTCCACATGACTTATCCTTCATATTTGGCCCTCTTTTAATCTTGGTGTCATTTTCTAGAAAATATAAAACGATTTAAACTAATATGAAGACGTTAGCATTGTTGTTTGAAAAGACATCTTACTAGTAATTGTAAAAAAATAAATAAAATAAAAAAATAAAATAAAAAAAGAGAGAGAAAAATAAACATCCAAAATGTTCTATATGTCGCTCACTACGCGCAGGCAAACACGCAGTCAGGTCCTAGGGAAATTGTACCTCCCCAAAAAAATAAATAAATAAAATACAAAAAAAGAAATAGGCACATAAACACAATTTGGCACCTTGAGCTTCGTGCACATGCCAAAAAACTGTGGCAACACACTCCACAAACATGGCTGACATGCAAGTTGAGCCAAAGAAATGTACCAAAAAAAACAAAACAAAAAAAAAAGCGCTTTATAGCTTCCATTTTTCCAGTAAAAGCAAAACTAAGTAAGCTAAAAATTCAGTAGCTTAACTCCTGCTGCCGTAGCATCGTTTTTTTTTTATATTAAATTACACGATATTCCTATGAGTACAAACTGTGAGATGACAACGGCCAAAATTGATAAAATGCTAATAATACGATGGAACCTCAAACATAGTCCCTTGTGCGTGCTTCCTGTTCATTTTCTTTTTCTGCATCTTAGAACTGCCCTTCTGCAGGCTCCTTGCTAAACCGAGGTCTCTCATTTAGCATTTGCTGTGCTCATTTATCAATGCAAGTTAATTAATTTATTCCAGGAGTAAAATAGATTATTTTACACATACAACGATTTATTATGTGATTTTATAATATTTTATGAATGCAAATTTTACCAACAAAACATGAGTAATTAAAAAAAAAACTATCAAAGTAAAGTTCACCAATTTTTTACGCAATTGTAACTAATTCACCAAAAAGTTAAAAAAAAAAAAAAAAGGTAAAATAAGCAATTTTATGTGACATGAATGTTCAATGCATGCATATGACCGTTTTTCTCTATGAGCATGTAAAATAAATGTAATCATAAAATTTTATTTTATTCATGACAAAGGTAATTTAAACATTTTAGGTCGCGGCCACTGCAATTCCCAAGTGAATGCATAACGTCTGCCTGCCTGTCCTGCCTTGGGGGAGGTCTCCGTCTCACACACACAGCATTAGCATTAGCTGATGTGCTGGTGAGTATGGAAAGCTGTTTGAGCGTTTATTTTGTCCAAGGACAACTTCGGGCATACTAGTAGGACAACTGGACACGTTACTTGCGAGGCACAACAGTGCACGAGTTGACAACAGTGCTACTAGTAGTACTACAAGTAACATTGGAAAATTGTACTATGTAACATTGAGCGCTTCACAAGTATGACTATAAGGAGCGCAGTTGTCAACTAGTGGACAGTTTTGCTTCACTAGTAAGTAACATGTCACGGTAGAACGCCAATGTTGTCCGACTAGGGTGCAGAAATGTGGAAGACAGTCATGAAAACAAATGGATACAGCCGTTCTACTAGCGCGCTGTGTTGTCTTACAAGTGAGGACAAAGAGTGTACTAGCATATGGACCTTAAGATGGATAGCAAAGATGCACTGGTAGCCGAGACTTTACTCTAAATGTTATTAGCAAGGCAGAACTATGCACTAGTCATTATCAGTGCGTCTCTCTTACTATGAGTGAAGCTTATGTCCGAAGATGTCAACTAGTAGAATTTTAATGTTTCACTCCTAGCACGAGTGGCTACTAGTGACATTTCTGTATCAGTAAAGGTTTTGCCTAATTTGTCGTCATCCTAGCACTATGCCAAAGTTGTTCTATTCGTGACGACAAAGCGCGGACGAGCACGCGGACTTTGAGCTGGACACCGAGGACATCAAATAATACATGTAGAAAAACCTTGGCACAATAGTAGGACAACTACCTACATGTGAGGCAAAACTACTAGTGGGCAATTGGCCATTAGTAAAACAAGTACATATTACTCAACGGATATTCTCTCTCTGATTTTTTTTTTTTTTTACCACATTACAAGATAGGACAAATATTCACCCTACCCCCAAAAAGGCAAAACATCTGCCTTTCTCTTTTTGCAAATTTTTTTTTCTGTTGAAAAATGAAACGACTACCAAAAACACTTCTATGTATGCATATATACATACATAGAATTTTTTTTTTTCAGCCGACTAATCAGTTATCGGAATTTAACTCCATTTTTACCCAAATAGCGGCCTCAACAAATCCATCCCGGTCCAGCCCTTTTTACTCGTAAAGCAAAACTACTCGCGTGCTACTAATACAGTTCAGAAAGTGATCCATGCAATCTTGATATCCATCTTAAGGTCCAGTACACTATTTGCCCTCGCTAGCAAAACAACTAGTGGTGTTACCAGTGCCGCATTAGAAAGACAGATGTTGGACCAGGTGGCGTACTAATCACACTGAACCGGTACGAGGACGCGGACCCGAAATCGCATACGGAAGACAATAGAATAAATGCTCAAACGGCTTTCCATCGGTGAGGGTTACGTGGACGAGGAAGAGGAGGTGTGAGGATGGTGAATGCGAGTGCTCTGTGAGTAGAAGTCAGCCGCCGCCATCAGCAGCCCGAGGAGGCGAAAAAGGAGTAGGGCAAGGGGGGGGTCAAAAAGGGGGCGGGTACACAGAGGAGGCGTGGCGGTACTCACTGACAGCCTATAGTTGCGCATCATTTTATCAAACTCCTCGTCAATTTTTTTGTACTTCTCCTCAGTGCGCGGCGTGAGCGAGAAGGGCTCCTCGGGGTCCGGGCTCTCAGAGTCCCGGTGCTCTTTCTTGTTCAGAGCCTTGGTAGCCCAAATAGAAGAAGGATAGGAAGAAGAGGAGGATAGAAGAGGAGGAGGAGGAGGAGGAGGAGAGGGGTTAGAGACGATGACACAGGTGCGAGTGTACTCACGCCGTAGCGCTTGTAGAGGGTGTCCAGGTCGTCCGTCTTGTTGCGGTACTTGTCGTCGTTTAGCGGGCTTTGGTCGATGGAGTCGTCGCCATCAGGCTCGGGGCTGTTGCAGCCGTTAAAGGATTTCTTTCGCAATGTCTGGGTAGGGGGGAGGGGGGGCACATTTGCATACATACACACACACACGCGTGTTATGAACAGAATTATAAAAAATAAAAAAAATTTTAAAAAGGAGAGACACACATGTCCTCTCATGAGCCAACAACATTTCTCCGCAGTGTCACTCGCGTGGGTCATGTCAGCTGACCTCAGTACAGGTATATTCAACTTAAAATTAACCCCTTTGACCAAAAATCACCAAATAAATAAATAAAGTTAAACACTTCCATGTGTGTTGCCGGACTTAAGTTGCCTAACGTCGCCTACGTTGAAACCTGAGGAGGAAATGGAAAACATTTTTGGCCTTTAGCTGAGGACAACACGCGATTCCAACCTGGAATAACCTTGGAGGGACAACTGAATCTGTACTCGCAGGTGCACTTGGGAGCCCGGAATGAAGAAAGAAAGCTTCTCAATGACACCGACCAGAATGTTCTTCGATCCATAAGAGTGCTGACGCGAGCTGACAACTGACGCTTTGGACCTGAACCCCAGCAAGCCAACACCGACCGGGCACCTCGTCAACGCAGCTGCTTGATTGGTGTGAAAGCTGCGGCGTCAGTGCCGAGGATTCCGGCTCAACCCGATTTGCCGCTAAGCTAAGAAGCTTTGTGGCCGGGTGAAGCGACGGAAGGCACCGTGACTGGCCGGGAAAGCTCCCGCTTTGGAAATCAATTAGCGAAACTGTAAAATGGCAAAGAAAAAAAAAAAGCTCACTTGCTCGGGAGTAAAGCTCAAAATCAGGAATGGCTGACATCTTTTCTTTTCAGGAAAGTACAACAAAAATAGGTTGCCTTATTTTTTTTGGAAAATTTGGAACAAAAACGGTCTTGAGTTGTAACGCTTTCAAACCGCCAATGGCTTTAAGAAAATAAAAAGCTTCAGTCTTTTCATTTTAGGAAAGTGTAACATTAATAGTTTGCCTTCTTTTATAGGAAATGAAAGAATGAGAAAAAAAAACATTTGAACAGTGTGAATTGTAATGCTACGAAACCACAAGTGGCCTTCGTGATACCATATAAGATCGCTTAAATCTTTCCTTTTTTAAAAATTTTATTTATATATATTTTTTAAGAATTAGAGCACACAGCTTGTCTTTTCAGGAAATTTGGACTAACAGTAACAGCTAAAGAAACAGCAAAGGAATGGCCTCAGTAATACATGTAGTATATCATCTTATATCTTTTCTATTTAGGAAAGTGCAATATCTAGTTTGTCTTCTTTTCAGGGCGTGAACAATGCAGACAAGTGCAACCGTAACGGGTTGATCAATGGAAATGATTACGCTATTAAAACACTAAGAGTTTATAATAATACACATTCGGTATTAGCTTACATCTTTTCATTTTAGGAAAGTGAAATGTCAACGCCAACAAGTGTAACAGTTTAAACAGCCCGAAATATGGCGCAGTTAGTAATAAATACCATATAACAACTTGACGCTTTTCTTTTTAAGAGTGGGAAATCACTTGTTCATCCTCGTTTATGAAAACAAATGATGCAGATCAGATTAACAATAACAGTTTGATCTGATTATTACTATTATTATGTGATTACAGTTCCAAGGGGCTTAATATGACAAAACATAAATTTTAAAAACAGTTTTTCTTCTTTAATAGAAAATGAATGATGCGACAAAGTGTTTGAAGAGCGTGAACTCTGCTCTATAAAAATACCAAATTGCCTTTTTTTTTTTTGGATAGTTCAACCTCAATCATTTGCCTTCTCTCCAGGAAATGAAGGATACAACAGGAACAATGAATTTCTACATTCTAAAAAGGAAGTAATAATGGCTTTTGTTATTGCCTTGGTTCCATTCGAAGATCCCGCGAGAGGCGGTTTAACTCCCGTTCAACGTTTTTAAAAAAAAATCAAATACAAGACAAAAAGTTTATTAAAACGAGGAAAACGAAAATCGAAGCGCGCGCGCGCACACACACACGCACGCACATTCGGTCATCCGCCAGTCGTCGAGAAGACAAACACTGTACATGCGTCTCTGTCCTGGAAGATGCATAAAATGAGCACAAAGAGCATCAGGCCACAATGAAAGCTTGTGACGGACGCATGCATCTTCTTTGAGGATACTGAATGGACGTCAGAGGGACGTTTGCGCACGCGCGCACGCACGCACGCTCACACACAACACAAAAGCTGCTGTGCAACAGTTTTACAGTTGCAAAGAAGAGGGCTACTGGGCATTATGGCAAAAACAAAGAAAGAAACAAACATTTTGTTCCACATCGTCGTCCGTTTTCAAGCATCTGTACGGCAAACGAAAGAAACTAGAAAGTAGGTCAACATTTCATGAACCGATCAAGCGACTTTTTTCGTCAGAGAACAAAATGAAAAAGATAGAACATAGAAATACATGAAAACAATTGAACTGGAATTTCCCGCCTTCGCTACAATCGACCAGCTCGAGTAGAAAATCGCATGAATAAATAGAGCCAGTAGGAATATATTTTTTTCTATCCATGGAGCAGAATTTCACAGGATGTTCACAATAAATTACCCGAATCACCTTTGATGACGAGCGCCACAAAGATTTTGACCAATAATCTAACTGCATTTTTTCCCCCTTAATTATTGTGATCGGGATTTAATATGTGATTATGATTACATTTTCCCATGTATTTTTTTTTCAACAAACCCGGGCAATTAATCAATCCTATCAGTAATCATTTGAAAATTGCCTCCCACGACACTGCAATGTTGATTTGAATTTGATTAATTGTTCTCGCTGCCCCCCGCAAGCCCCGCCCACCAGCTTTCCTCCTTCGTCTCCTTCCTCCGTCCATCACTTCCATCTGCCTTCCTTCCTTTCTCCTCTCGCGTCTATTCATCGGAGGCCTTTTCGCATCGTGCTTGCCTTCCGCCGCTCCTTTCTCCTCTTTTTCTCGCCCTGATTGGGATCTGCAGCCGAGCGGATTAACACGTTGTGGCAGCGGAGGCAGCCCGCCCACACATGCACACGGGCGCACACACGTGCACGCGCACGCGCTGCGTTTTCGAGGCGGCGCGCGCGCGTGTATGCTACCTCTCACCGGAGTGAAGGAATGTCAAGCCGTGTGACGAATACTGACACGCTCGCACACGCACACACTTAAGTGCTTCTAAGCATACAGTAGAGCGAAATGGTCGTCTGCACTCTGACCCGCACTGAGCCGAGTGTATTCGCGTGTGCGCGTGCGTGTTGCCGTGTGTGCGTGGCAGCCTGCGTGACTACATCCACACTTCATAATTTATAGTCAAAAGCACTCGGCAGAGAGGCTCACGGAGGCACTGAGCGAGAATGCGAGCGAGTGCATTTGGTGACCGGCCAATTATCCTCGCCGGCGTCCTCTGGCCGCAGATTAAGCCCAATGTAAATCGTATAATTAAGTCACGCCGTCCCAACCGGGTCGGGCCGGGCTGGGCTGGGCCTGGGTGACACAGTGACTGATGGAGGGGGGGGGAATAAAAAAAACAAGCTTCCAATGACAGCTGCCCGACGAATGTAACGTCTCATCTCCACTTTCACTTAAGCTTTATCGATGTTAAGCTCCGAGGCTCGGCACTTCCTGTCAATTTGTAATTTATGTCATTTATTTATTTTTTTGAAGATAAGGACCTCATTACTTCGGAGCTGGATGCATTTCTATCCAGGCCTGGATATGCGATTTGATTATTTTGAGAGGGGGAAAAAAAATGGAATTTAGACAACTTTTATGGTTTTAGTGTTCAGTTTTACCTTCATTGACAAGAATAATTGGTGCCATGACTCTGCTTGGAACCCACTACACTCAAATTTCAAATCATTTTTTCTCACGGAAAGGAAAATATGTTTTTTGTTATGTTTCATTCAAGAAAATAACACTCAATAATATCATACTAACATAATTTAAAAACATGTAAAGACATTTTGTACGTTAGTTCATTCTGATTGCATGCATCCACTAGCCACCTGAAACAAGAGTTTCACAACGAAGTGACTCAGTCAGCAGCTTTCCTCGCAGGGGATAAAGAATATATCCCTGCGAGTATTGTAATCTGCCAAAATTTGTTGCTTCACTGTATTGGTTCAAATATCTCTTGCTCAAAGTGTCATAACAGCGCGGCTATCGATCATTATTTTTTTTAGCCCATCTTTAACCCCTTTAACCCGTTTTGCATTGTGTGTTCGCCACCCAAGATTCCCCCGCACCCCCAATCTTCATCTTCAACTTCAACTTTGCGCTGATCTCAAACAAAAAGTGCTATAACGCCGCCATTTAACGTTGTCTGTTTGTCACTACAGGTATGAAGAAGCTTGAATTTCGCAGACAGGCAAGGCCAGACCCTTCCGGGGATACTTATTGAAAAACCTGATGACTATATTCTTTGGTGGCAGTAAATGGTTGGATTCCAGTTGACAAACATAAATGTAGTGAACGAGTTACGTCAGTGTATTTTTTGAGAGGGATCAGGTGAAACTGATTCCATTGCTTATGGTTAAAATGTCATCAGATGTATTTACTTGTTGTCCTTGTCTGCCATGTATCGTCTCTCTCTATATTATTTCCACATATGTTGCTGTCTTGTATTTGTACAAAAAAATATATATATCTATATAAAAGACTATTTCATTGTTGTTACATGTTACTGGTTGCGCCTGCATAAATAATGACGTCTTAATCACAATTTTCAGGGTTTCCAAAAGGGTAGAACTGGTATACAAATCCAGTTGAGCAGCATCATGGAACCTCCGATTCGCCGTAAAAAAATAATAAAAAAAATGTAACAAAAACGGCAAGTGGCATTTCAAAGAGGTGTCATGTGAGGACACAGAGAGGAGTACTAAGTGAGGATTAACCAATCGTGGCCAGACGACTAACACCCGCTTAACGAGGAGGTGGGCATCTGGAGGGGGACAACCGAGGACAAAGTCACTGAAAGCATCACCGGTGTGAGTGTGAGTGTGTGTCGGGTGGAGGGTGAGGGGTTGGGGTCACGGCAGCATAGCATAGTTTAGCACTGGGGAGCGACGCTCCCGTGTAAAGGACGCACACAAACACACAAGCGAGACGCACACCAGGCTTGAATATTGTATGAGACGCTCTCTGGGGCCACGGACGAGCGTGCAAAACACATACACAGACACACATGCATACACACACACAAACACACACACACACACACACACACACACACACAACCACACACACACAACCAACAC